TCTGCCAGCCTCAGCAGTCAGCCTCAGCCTCAGCCTGCCTCGGCTAGCCTCAGCCTCAGGCCAGCCTCAGCCTGACTCGGCCTCAGCCTGCCTCGTGCCTCAGCCTGCCTCGCTTCCCCTCCTCCCCCCACCCCCTTCCCCCCCCTTTCAACCCTCACCTTGTCTCGGCCTGAGCCTGCCTCCTCAGCCTGCCTCAGCCTCAGCCTGCCTCAGCCTCAGCCTCAGCCTGTCTCAGCCTCAGCCTGCCTCAGCATCAGCCTCAGCCCCAGCCTCAGCCTCAGCCTGCCTCGGCTTGCCTCGGCCTCAGCCTCAGCCTGCCTCGGCCTCAGCCTCAGCCTCAGCCTGCCTCAGCCTCAGCCTGCCTCAGCCTCAGCCTGCATCAGCCTCAGCCTCAGCCTGCCTCAGCCGCAGCTTGCCTCAGCCTCAGCCCACAGCCTCAGCCTCAGCCTGCCTGCCTCAGCCTCTCAGCCTCAGCCTCAGCCTGCCTAGGCTTGCCTCAGCCTCAGCCTCGGCCTGCCTCGGCCTCAGCCTCAGCCTCAGCCTGCCTCAGCCTCAGCGTCAGCCTCTCAGCCTCAGCCTGCATCAGCCTCAGTCTCAGCCTCAGCCTCCCTCAGCCTCAGTCTCAGCCTGCCTCAGCCTCAGCCTGCCTCAGCCTCAGCCTCAGCCTGCCTCGGCCTCAGCCTGCATCAGCCTCAGCTCAGCCTGCCTCAGCCTCAGCCTGCCTCAGCCTCAGCCTCAGCCTGTCTCGGCGTGCCTCAGCCTCAGCCTCAGCCTGCCTCGGCCTCAGCCTGCCTCGGCTTCAGCCTGCCTCAGCTCGGGCATTCAAAAGATGACACAGGACTAGTGTTCTGGGGACACGAAGCTCACGAAATGGCATACAGTTGGCTCCGGGCAATCAACATATGGTGTAGGAATAGTGTTCTGGGAACACGAAGAACACGAAGTGGCATACAATTGGCTCCGGGCATTCAAAATGCGTCCTGGGAATAGTGTTCTGGGAACACGAAGAACAGGAAGTGGCCTACAGCTGGCTCCGGGCATTCAAAATGCGGCCTGGGAATGGTGTTCTGGGAACACGAAGAACACGAAGTCGCCTGCAGTTGGCTCCGGGTATTCAAAATGTGGCCTGGGAATGGTGTTCTGGGGAGTCCCCAGATCCTCCCCGGCACCCGCCCAAACCTCCCTGGGGAGTCCTGGGGAGTCCCCGGATTCTCCCCGGCATCCGCCCAGACCCCCCTGGGGAGTCAAGATGCTCTCTTTTGAGCCCGCTAGAAACCTATCAGTCTTCGCTGTTAGGTAAATAGCAACATGACGGTGTCATATCAAACTACTGACCGAGAGCGAGCTGCCATCTCGGCAGCACTCCAGACCTTGGGCACAAGACCTCGCCTGATACGATCCAGGTAGTCACGCCTGGTCCGATTCAGGGGCTTGTGACACGACTCTCTGAGATCGGGGGAAGGGGCACGGGGGGCCAAGCAGATCGTCGGCAGCAGAAGCAGTAGTTTCGATACGATGGACACAGGGCAAACATAGGCGCCTGATGGAACTGTGCCCTTCGATTCGTCCTCACGTGCGCACAATCCCAATCCCCCTTTTTCTCCATCTGGCAGACACCCTCTTTCCTTTTTCTCGCCCCATCCTGTCCAATGTCCTCCATCCTCGTTGTTATCATCCTCATCATGCTTCTGTCCGTCATCATCCTGATATTTACATCATGTTCCATCTTCTTCTCTGCCATTGACATCCTCATCCTCCCAATCCTCATGACCCTCACTATCCTCACAATAATCTTACTCATCCACGTTGTCGTCATCATCATCATCATCATCATCATCATCATCATCATCATCACCAACGCCATTGTCAACATCAACATCTGCAACACCATCAATATCAGCGCCGCCATCATGAACACCAACCATGTTTCAGACGGTTCGTTCTCAATTTCCCGCGTTCTCCTCTTCCGAGCACCAATCCAAGCCATGGACTCCAACCCTCTTCGTCTATCAACTCACCGCCGTTGGGGGGGAACTCCATGTTTCCAAAATTGTCTGTCCCGCGAAGCGCACCACGGTATGGAAAGTTCAACGAGAATCAGCGGTCCAAGGTTCTCCTTCCTCAGAAACGCTTCCCGCCATCCGCCAGCGAGTTGACCGGTGCTGCGGGATCCCTCTGTTTGAGAAAACGACTACCAGAAAGCCAGCGGTCCACGCAAGAGGCGCTCTCCTTCCTCCGCCATCGTGCCCCACTGGCAAGTTGGCGGTAGCGGCGTCCGAACCGTGGGCCCTTGGGAACTTGGGAACTTCCAGAATGCGCGACAACTGAAGTCAGATGCGGGTTAGGACATCATGGCCCAAGGCGCACGCGCGGACGAGTTGGTACCAAGGCACGTGTTGAAAGAAGACGGGAGGTGTGAAATCTGGGAGATATCATGGCAACTGCCATGATACCGATAGGACCACGCTCCGGGTGAGAAGGAGGTTCGGGGGGAAGGGGGACGCGGTCGATCTGCGATGACTCCCACCTGCCGCCACCAAAGAGTGAGTGGGCAAACGAATACCACCTACGTCCGCCTGCGTCTACCTAACTCATATATGATATATGATATATATATGTATATATATCCCTGTTTCTATATGCTCATCAATACATCGATCTATATGTCTATCGAGTCGGCACAACAATCAGTCTACCTATCTACCAACCAATGAATCTATATATCGCGTCGATCCATGAACCAATAGATCTATCTACCTACCTATCTCTCTATCGTTATATAAATCGATCTCTACATCTATCCATCTCCCGGTCTACCTGTCTACATATCTCTCGGTCTATCTATCTACCTGTGGACCTCTCTATCGGGTCAACCGTCAGGATAACAATCGGGACAACCGTCGGGACAACCATCGGGGCAACCATCGGGACAGCCATCGGGACAACCACCGGGACAACCATCGAGACAACCATCGGGATAACCATCGGGACAACCATCGGGACAATCATCGGGACAACCACCAGGACAACCACCGGACAATCATCGGGACAACCATCGGGACAACCATCGGGACAACCATCGGGAAGACCGTCGCAACAACCGTCGGGACAACTATCGGGACAACCATCGGAACAACCATCGGGACAACCACCAGGACAACAATCGGGACCACCATCGGGACAACCATCGGGACAACCATCGGGACAACCATCGGGACAACCATCGGGACAACCATCAGGACAACCATCGGGACAACCATCGGGACAGCCATCGGGACAACCATCGGGACAACAATCGGGACAACCACTATCCATCGGGACGAGCATCGAGACAATCATCGGGACAACCATCGGGACAGCCATCGGGACAACCACCGGGACAACCACCGGGACAATCATCGGGACAACCATCGGGACAATCATCGGGACAACCATCGGGACAACCACAGGACTACCGCGGGACAACCACGGGACACGCGCCCGCTCGGGCGGGGGGGGGGCGGCCCTTTTGGCTCCAGGTGGCCTCTACCAGTGCAGGAACTCGCGCAGCTTGGTCTCGCTCGCACGCACGACACGAACCGAAACCGAAACAGATTTCCCCGTTGGGGTCACTTCCGTTCACATCGCCCAACCTCCGATCCTTACACACAGTCCTCACCCACCTCTTTTCCGCCCCCGACTGGCACCACCAAAAACATCGAAATCTATGGAAACCAAGAAATGACACATCCGAAATGGTTTCAGCCAAACATGGCTCGATGCCCAACCCAACATCATATACAACTTTCAAAACCGAAAGCGGCCACTGTTGGGCAGGGGGTGTTTTGGCCAAAATGGGCAACGTCCGCGGCGATGCCGCCTGCGAGCCCTCTTCAAATTTCACGAGCACGCATCAGGGACCCGTGGATCTGGCGCGAGAACACACGATCAGAGGATCGGAGAGGACCTGGCGCGAGGGCGCACGATCCACGCATCGCATAAAACACCCCCCGAAACATGAGGCCAATGCCGCCGGATCTGGCGACGTGTGTGCAGGCGGCACCCGTCGCTAATCCACGCGCCGTGGTCCGTGCTTGCGCTTCCCTGAAAGACTGCAGGAACTGCTGTCGATCGTCGTCCCCATCGCTTCCGCTTGAAAAGAAGAAACTGTGACCGTGTCCAAGACCGAACGCAGAAACGTCGGCGCCGATCTTGTTCACCGTCCACCCTTCTCACCGTCGATTCGTGGGTCATTCTCGCGAACTGGCGACGGCCGGCATGGACCATGGCCAAGCTCGGCGCCGACTAGATACCTTCACATCTTGGCCATGGGCAGCGTATGGTCAGGAGCTGTTGCTCAGCGTGTTGCGATGGCGGCCCTGGCGACACGCTGCGCCCCGCGAGCGGCTAGTGTGTCGCCCCGCTCCGCGAGGCAAAGGCTGGGAAAGGTTCGGGACCTGGGCGCTCGGGGAGGAGAACCCAGAATCGAATCGATGTGTCGGATCGGCGATCGAAATGAATCGGCTCGGCGGAAATCGGCGGCCGGGTCGGGAAAAGTCGAATCGGCGGAAATCGGCAGACTAGTATGCCTCCAATAAGAAATCGGACCCCAAATCGGAATCCGAAATCGAATCGAATCGGAATCGGAATCCACCGAAATCGAATCGAATCGAATTGGAGTAATCGAAACGAGCCCTGGTTCGGGGACTGGGCAATGGTCTGCGTGTCGCGCCGAGGCGTGGCGGGCCACAACCGGCGGCGCGACTTGCTAAAGGGGTCGTCTGCGCCGGCGGAAGAAGCTAACTGAACGGGGGCACCGTCGTGGCGAATTGGCCAACATGCAAGAGGAGGAGGGACAGAGCGGGAGCCGGCGGCGCGACACGCTAAGCAATCTCTCTCTCTCTCTCGATCCTGCCGGCCGGAAGGCCACCGAACACCTCCCGAGCAGAACGCGCCACAGGCGCGCTGCAAGCAAGGCCGGCGGCGGCGGCCGAGCGGGGCGGCACAGCCGCGCTCGCCGCCTGGTGCGCACCCAGTGTTGGAGGGGCTGTCGTGCAGGTAGCCTGCCCACGCCCCCGTCGCAACAGAGGGAGGGAGGGAGAAAGGGAGGGATGGAGATGGAGCGAGGAGGAGAGGGGATGGAGGAGGAGGAGGAGGAGGAGGAGGAGGAGGAGGAGGTCCCAAAGCCGTGTTATGAAGAACCGCGTGGTGACCTCGAAATCCTGGAAGACCTCACCGCGTGGTCCGCCACCACACGGGCTGGGTACCCTGGAAGCCCTGGTCGCCCGAGTCGTCCTCCGAGATCGACCCGAGTCCCAAAACCGTGCGGTGACCCCGACCCCCCACTGACTCACCACGCGATGTAGATAGAAGAAGAAAAATGCCATAAACAGAACGTGTTGTCTGCGCTGGACCGCCCTCCCTGGCGCGCGGAGCGCGCCAGGGGCGTCGCTGGAGGCGCCGCCAGGGGGGCCCAGCGCGGATCCAAGAAAACCGCGCGGAGCGCCAACAGTTTATGCTTATGCCGTGTTCTCCCTCTTCGAGTAGAGACCCACACGGCCAGGCCCGAAGACGGTACCACCCCTCGGCTCCAGCCCAGGGCTCGGGGTAGAGCCCCCAGCTGTCCGAGCAGAGTCCAGCCGTGGCGAGGAGGGGCGAGGAGGAGGAGGAGGATGAAGCTACCCCCGCGTCGGGTACGTCGTCGTCGCCCCACTCGTCGTCGTCGTCGTCGTCGTCGTCGTCGCCGTCGTCGTCGTCGTCGTCGTCGTCGTCGTCGTCGTCGTCGTCGTCGTCGTCGTCGTCGTCGTCGTCGTCACCTCCTCCTCCTCCTCCTCCTCCTCCTCCTCCTCCTCCTCCTCCTCCTCCTCCTCCTCCCCCTCCTCCTCCCCTCACCCTCCTCCTCCTCCCCTTCTTCTCCTAATCCTCCTCCTCCCCCTCCTCCTCCTCCTCCTTCTCCTCCTCCTCATCCATCTGCTTCCTCATAATTAGCTAACTATTTTATGGCGCACTACTGCGCGTGTCGCTGGGTCTGGCGAGGAGTTTCGCCTGAGAGATCCTCAGCACATGTGAGCCTGAAGGCTCAAATCCCGTCAGCACTCAGGGCGAAGGTGGTAGAACGCGTTGTGTTCGTCCCTCTGCCAAACCCTTCCTTCCCTTGCTCGGATTAGGGGCTCATCACTGCTCTCTTTTAATGAATACCCCCTCCACGCAACCGGCAGCAAACCTGGACCCGTGCGCACCACCTCCCACACAACCCCTGTCAACAAAACAAGACAAAATACAATGTGCCTCCAAATCGGGGACATGCGCAGGCGCCTCGCGACCACTTCGAATTGGTTGTTCAAAGTGACGGCGGGGTGCCAGCATATTTCTTGCTGCTCGGAGGCCAAACATCCCAACATACACAAAAATACAGAAAGCCACCGACCGTGTCGGCGTATGGAAGACGCTTTTCTGTTTGACTCGACGTCGTCGTGGTCGTGGTCGTGGTCGTCGTCGTCTCGTCGTCGTCGTTCATTGTCGTCGTCGTCGCCGTCGCGTTTGACCCCCCTTTCCCTGGTGACAAGATCCGCAGCTAAGCCGGGCCAAACACCCTCGAGCAGCAAACACAGTCACATGCGAAAGCAAGGAGCAAGAACACGAGTATCTGTTGGACACCCGCGGCGCACCGAAGCCACTGGACGCGTCTACTATCGACTATCGCAGAAAGGGGGGGCAGAGGCTTCCGAGTGACCGGGCGCCCCGGGCGGGGCCGGGAGGGGCGTCACATCGTCTAGTAACGGAAAGAGCGAGGTGCGAGTGATGGTGTTCTGCTGGGGCAAAGCCCTCTAGGGAGGGGCCCAGGAGAGGGGCGTATGGCGTGCGGCAGGGTGTGAACACGCGGGCCCAGCCGCAAGACGGCCTCAGAGGCGCCCAAGACGTGATCGGATACCCCGAAGAGACCCCGGGAGAGGTCCAGGATGGCTCCAAGACGGCCCAAGATCGCTCCGAGGGAGCGAAGACCGCGCAAGAGCGCTCCGACCTAAGATGACCTGACGACGGTCTCAGAGGGCCCAAGATGGTCTCAGAGGCGATTAATCGGCGGCGGGCGAGGGCGGGAAATGAGAGGGAGAAGGCCTTCTCAGAAGGTTCCGAAGTCACCCAGCCTTCTGAGAATGGCCACAAGGCGCCCCAAGAGGCCTCCCCCGACGGCCACAGAGGGCCCCAAGATGGCCCAAGAGGGCCCCAAGTGGGCCCCGAGTGGCCCCCAAGACGGCCAAAGGCCTCCAAGACGCCCCAAGACGGCTCAAAAGAACCCCAGGACGCCCCAATAGGACCCCACCAGGGCCCAACAGGTCTCCAACAGGGCTCCCAAGAAGGCCCAGAGACGCCAAGCTCGTATAAACCACCAGGGCTCCCCAGAGCTGGCGGTGACGTAAACAACTCTGAACACCAGCAGCGAGCGGTGACGTAAAAAGCTCTGAGCACCAAGGCTCCCCAGAGACCATAGTGACGTGACAAGCTCTTAACACCAAGGCTCCCAAGTGCGAGCGGTGACGTCACAAGCTCTGAACACCAAGGCTCCCTAGAGCGAGCTGTGACGTGAAAAGGTCTGAGCATCAATGCTCCTAAGAGCCCATAGTGACGTGACAAGCTCTTTTATTACCAAGGCTCCAAAGGGCTCTCAGTGGCGTGACATGCTCTGAACAGCAAGGCTCCCAAGAACGAGCGGTAACGTCACAAGCCCTTAACACCAAGGCTCTCAATAGCGAGCGGTGATGCAAACAACTCTTAACACCAAGGCTCCCAAGAGCGAAAGTGCCACGAACCATCTCGGGCAAATTTCTGAAACGCTCTTTCAGTTTCCATCGGGCCCATGTAACCGAAAAAGAAAGGCACGAGTGATGACGTTCAGGTGGGGCGAAGCCCTTTTGGGAGAACTGCAGAGGAGGGGGGTAGGGCGCGCAAACGGGCGTTAACACGCGCGCCCCCCCCCCCCCAGGACCGCCCCAGAGGCGCCCAAAACGGCCCAAGATACTCCCAAGACGGCCCAAGGAACCCCCAAGAGGGGTTCAAGAGGACTCCAGGACGGTCCCCGATACACTCCAAGAGGCCTGCAAGAGGCTTCCCAAGAGGGCCCAAAGATGCAAACATAATTGATGTTTCGATGTAATTTGATGGTCTTTCTGGTTTCTGCAGATTTAATCCAAGAGCAACCCAAAACGGCCCAAAAGGCTCCAAAAATCGTCCCAAGACGGCCCAAGAGGCCCCCGCAAGGGCCCCAAAACGGTCCAAATATGCCCAGAAGGCCCAAGAGGGCCCCAAGACGGCCCAAGAGAAACCCAAGACGGCCACCCCAAGAGAGCCCCAAGAGAGTCCAAGCCAAGACGGCCCAAGAGGGCCCCAAATCGAACGGCCCAAGAGTGCCCCCAAAAGACCCCCAAGAAGCGCCAGAGACGCCAAGTAACGCGATGGCTCCCAACAGCGAGCGGTGATGTAACTATATCTCAACACCAAGGCTCCCAAGAGCTCTCAGTGGCGTGACATGCTCTGAACAGCAAGGCTCCCAAGAACGAGCGGTAACGTCAAAGTCTCTGAACATCAACAGAGAGCGGTGATGCAAACAACTCTAACACCAAGGCTCTCAAGAGCGAAAGTGCCACGAACCATCTCGGGCAAATTTCTGTAACGCTCGTTCAGTTTCCATCCGGCCCAGGTAACCGAAAGAGTGAGGAACGAGTGATGATGCTCAGGTGGGGCGAAGCCCTCTAGGGAGGAGTGCAAAGGAGGGGGGTAGGGCGCGAAACCGGGCGTTCACACGCGCGCTCCCCCCAGGACGGCCGCCGAGGCGAGGCGCCCAAGACGGCCCCAGACACTCCCAATACGGCCCAAGGAACCCCCAAGAGCGGTCCAAGAGGACTCCAGGACGGCTGCAGAGTGCTCCAACAGCCCAAGACCGCCCCAGAGTATTCCAAGGTGACCTCCTGGGTCCTGAAAACGGTCCAAGAGGCCTGCAAGAGGCCTGCAAGAGGCTTCCCAAAAGGGCCCGAACAAGCAAACTGCATTTGTTGTTCGATTGGTTTTGCAAGATATTCAGGTTTTCGCTCTTCCAGGCCAAGAACTGCCCAAGACGGCCCAAGAGGCTCCAAAGATCGTCCCAAGATGGCCCCAGAGACTCCCAAGAGGGCCCCCAGGCGGCCCAAGAGGGCCGCCGGACTGCCCCAGAGGGCTTCAAGACGGCCATAGAGGGCCCCTGGAAGCTCCTGACAAAGCCCCAAGTGGGCCAAAGGCCTCCAAGACGCCCCAAGACGGCCCAAAAGTGCCCCAGGACGGCTCGCGAGGGCCCCAAGAGGGCCCCAACAGGGCTCGAACAAGACCCAGAGGAGGCCAAAAACGTTGATTTCCCGGCCCAGGACGACCCAAGAGGCCCCCAAGATCATCCCAATATGGCCCAAGAGAGCCACAAGGCGCCCCAAGAGGCCCCCCGGACTGCCCCTGAAGGCCCCAAGACGGCCCAAGAGGGCCCCTAGAGACTCCCAAGAGAGCCCAAAATGGCTCCCAAGAGGGCCACACAAGGCCCCAAGGAACGGCCCAAGTGGACCCCACAAGGGCCCAACAAGGCCCCAACAGGACCCCCAACAAGGCCCGGAGACGCCAAGCTCGTAACACCAGGGCTTCCCAGAGCCAGCGGTGACGGAGACAACTTTGAACACCAGGAGCGAGCGGTGACGTAAAAAGCTCTGAGCACCAAGGCTCCCCAGAGCCCATAGTGACGTGACAAGCTCTTAACACCAAGGCTCCCAAGAGCAAGCGGTGACTTCACAAACTCTGAACACCAAGGCTCCCAAGAGCGAGCTGTGACGTAAAAAGGTCTGAACATTAAAGCTCCCAAAAGCCCGTGGTGACTTGACAAGCTCTGAACAGCAAGGCTCCCAAGAGCGTTCGGTGACGTTACAAGCTCTGAACACCAAGGCTTCCAAGAGCCGGCAGTGACGTCACAAACCCTCAATGTCAGGGCTCCCGCGAGCGAGCGAAAACGTCAAAACGGCGAGTGGTGACGCAAACAACTCTTAACAACACCGAGGCTCTCAAGAGCGAAGGTGCCACGAGGCATATCGGGCAACTGTCCCAAGCGCTCTTGCCGTCCCCGTACCGGCCCAGGTGACGGAAAGAGCGAGGTACGAATGATGTCGTTCTGGTGGGGCGGAGCCCTCTTAGGGAGGGGTCCAGGGGAGGGGCGTAGGGTGGGGAACTCCGGGTAACGCGCCCCCCTACGGCCCCAGAAGCGCCGAAGACGGCCCAAGATACTCCCAAGACGGCCCAAGGAATCCCCAAGAGAAGTCCAAGAGGGCTCCAAGACGGCCCAAGAGCGCTCGAAGAGAGCCCAACACCGCCCAAGAGCGTTTCAAGATGGCCTCATACGGCCTCCAGGCAGCCCAAGAGAGCCTCAAGACGGCTCCAGAGGCCCTCAAGAGGGCCCCCGAGAGGGCCTCAGGATGCCAAAAACATAGATTTGCCTTCGGTGTTTGAAAGTTTTCGGGTTCTCGCCTTTTCGGGCCCAGAACGGTCCAAGACGGCCCAAGAGCCGCAAAGATCGTCCCAAGACGGCCACAGGGACCCCCAAAAGAGCCCCAAGACGGCCCAAGAGGGCCCCAAAACGGCCCAAGAGGGCCCCAAGACTGCCCCAAGAGAGCCCCAAGAGGGCCCTAAGAGGCTCCAAAGAGGGCCGCAAGCAGCCCCTAAGAAAGCTCCAAGACGGCCAAAGGCCTCCAAAACGCCCCAAGACGGCCCAAAAGGGCCCGAAGACGGCCCAAGAGGGCGCCAATCTCAGGCATTCTTCTGCAACGCTCTTTCCGTTCCCGTGCCGGCCCAGGTGACGGAAAGAGCGAGGTACGAGCGAGTGACGTTGAGGAGGGGGCGAAGCCCTTCTTTGGGGGGGTCCAGGGGGGGCGTGTGGACCGGACGTTTTGGTCTAATCGCCCTCGTGGCCTCTAAGACGCGCCCCAAACGGCCCAAAAGGCCTTCGAGACAGTCCAAGCGGGTTCCAAGACGGCTCCAAGACGGTCCAAGAGCGCTCCAAAACGCCCAAGTTGGGTCCGGGACGGTGCAAGACGGCCCCAAGACGCCCTCAGATGGCTCCGAGACGGTCCAAAGAGCTCCCAAAACGCCCCAAGTGGCCTCCAAGAGGCTTTCCAAGAGGCCCCGAGGAGGCAGAAATCATTGATTTTTCAATTGTTTTTGAAGGTTTTTGGGGATTTCGCTTTGTCGGGCCATGAACTGCCGAGAACGACCCAGGAGGCTCCAAAGATCGTCCAAGGACGGCCCAAGAGGCCCCCAGAAGCGAGCGCAAACGGCCCAAGAGTGCCCCAAGACGGCCCCAGAGGGCCTCGAAACGGCCCAAGAGAGCCCCAAGACGGACCAAGAGAGCCAAAAGAGAGCTCCAAGAGACTCCCAAGACCGGCCCAAGAGACTCCCAATAGAGCCCCAAGACGACCAGAGCCCTCCAAGATGCACCCAGACGCCCGAAAAGGGCCCCACGACGCCCCAAGAGGCAAAAATCTTTGATTTTCTTTCTGGAAAACGTATTTTTTTAGCATACACGGCTTTTCTGCTTTCACGGCGTTGACGACGGCCCAAGAGGCCCCCAAGACCGCCCCAAGACGGCCCAACAGGCTCCCAAGCGGCCCCCAAAAAGGCCCAAGAGGGCCCCAAGACGGTCCAAGAGGCGCCCAAGACGGCCCAAGAGGGCCCCAAAACGGCCTAGAGGGGGACCGCCAACCGAAAAGTCTAGCGTATCGCCCCAAGACGTTCCCAGAAGGCCCCAAGAGCCCCCCAAGAAGCCCCAAGAGGCCCCCAAGAGGCGTCCCAAGAGGCCACCAGGAGGCCACAAGTATTGATTCCCGATGGGAAAAAGTACATTTCTAGCATACAAGGCTTTTCGGCTTTCACGGCGTTGACGACGGCCCAAGAGGCCCCCAAGAGGCCCTCAAAAATGCCCAAGAGGGCGCCAAGACGGCCCAAGAGGCGCCCAAGACGGCCCAAGAGGGCCCCAAGACGGCCCCAAGAGGGGGACCCCGAACCGAAAAGTCTAGCCTTTCGCCCCAAGAAGCTCCCAGGAGGTCCCCAGAGCCCCCCAAGAAGCCCCAAGAGGACCCCCAGAGGTCCCCAAGAGGCCTCCAAAAGGGCCCGAAAAGGGCCGCAATAGGATTCCCAAGAAGGCCCAGAGACGCCAAATAGAGAGCGATCGGTAACACAAAAAGCTCTTCAAACCAAGGCTCCCAAGAGCGAACGGTGACGTAAACAAGCTGATAAAGCCAAGTCTCCCAGCAGAGAGCGGTGACGTAACAAGTTCCTGACACCAAGGCCCAGCCAAGGCGGAGGAACGGGCGGCAACGCAACAATCTCTGAACACCACGGCTCCGCAGAGCGAGGGGTGACGTAACAAGCTCTCAACGCCAAGGCTCCCAGTACGAACGGTGGTGTGAGTAATTTCGGTTTCTGTTTCTGCAGCGCTCTTTCCGTTTCTGTGGCCAGGTCTAACACGCCTTCGTTCCCCTCCGCCTCCATCAAGGCTCCATTACGAACGATGACGTGGAAAGCTCTGAACGCCAAGGCTCTCGGTACGAGCGATGGTGTCAAGAGCTTCAAGAGCTTTGAACGCCAACGCTCCAAGTACGAACGATGACGTGAACAGCTTGAGCGCCAAGGCTCTTAGTAGGAATCATAGCGTAAAGAGCTTTGAACGCCAAGGCTCCTAGTACGAACGATTACGTAAAAGACCCCCAAGAGGCCCCGAAACAGCACCCAAGAGGCCTCAAAACTGCGTCCAGGAGGCCTCCGAGGAGCCCTACCACGGGGAGGAGGAAGAGGAGGAGGCGGAGGAGGAGTGGGCAAAAGGACCCCAAGCACGGCCCAAGGGGGCCCCAAGACGGCCCAAAAGGACCTTAGAAGGGCCCACAAAATACCTCCGAGAAGCCCCAGAAACGCCAAATACCACCATGGCTCCCCAAGTAACACCATGAACACCATGGCCTCCAAATAACTCCATGGCTCCGACCATCAAGGTTCCATTACAAACGATGACGGAGAAAGCTTTGAACGCCAACGCTCCCAGCACGAACGACAGTGTAAAGAGCTTGTGCGAACGATGACGTGAACAGATTTGAGAGGCAAGGCTCTTAGTACGAAAGATGGCGTGAAGAGCTTTGAAAACCAAAGCTCCCAGCACGATGGTTGATGTCAAAAGCTCTTGACACCAAGGCTCCCGAAAGCGAGCGGTGCCATGATGAACACTCTCAGGGATGCTCCACAGACCCGCTCTCTCCGTTCCCGTGTCGGCCCAAGTCTAACACGACTTCGTCCCTCTCCGCCTCCTCCTCGACCTCCTGAGGGGGAATGCCAGGGGGGGGCTGGCTCGGGGGGAGGGGGGAACATCGACCCGGAATCGGGGATACGTCGCCGATACACTGTCGATTGGCCTCCGATTGCGAGTCCACACGGTAGTGGGCGGGGCGGGCATATCCGGCCCATACCGGCGATGAGTGGGCGATGGGGGGTCGCCGCGTCCCCTTCCTGAGCCTGTCACCCCCCAACGTTCCCCCCGCACCCACTTTCAACCCCTACGACTACGACGACTGTGGACGCAGCGCTGCCGCCTAGGGGTGCTTGATCCGCGGCGCCAGCGGACTGCACTGGCTGGCACCCGACGATGAAGCCGTACTTCTGGAACACGCTTTCGCAGGTGGAGGCCTGGCGCCGCTTGTGGGGCCTCGCCCCCCTCTTTCGAACGAGATGTTTCATCTCATTCCCCACCTCGAGCCCGAAGTGAAACGTGAGATGCAGCACCACCTTGGAAAACCTTACGTTTCAAGCGTGACGTGCGCGCGGACAAAATCGCAACTGCGCAAGATCTTGCACTGGCAGGGGCCAAGTCAGACCAACATGGGCCGCCCCAAGCCAGGATCGTTGCCCCCCGTGGTCCCTGGTACTCCCGCCGAGTGTCCCAATTGTTGTCTCGATGGTTGTCCCGATGGACTAGTTCATACATGGATGGGTGGATCGACATGTTGCCCCGATGAAATCGCACACCGCCAGCAAGAAAATAGAGGAATCAACACGTGTATTGATAGTGGCATCGATACACATGTGTAATGCGACGATGTGGTCCAGATGGTGAAACTTCTGATGTACACATGTCAGGTATACGTAGGGGTACATGTATAAATTAAGCCACGCGTTTGGCGCTCTTAGGTTCTAGCAAGCACGTGCGTTGGACAATGCCACACCTGCATGCAGGTACGCAAATCCCAATAATGGCATGGCCATGAAATGAAACAACATCACGAGAACGGACCGAACATTACCGTCAGAATCGCGACCAGGCATGTTCAACGCGACGCAAGGAAAAATAATGCAAGACCGCACAGTGAATTGATTGCATTACAATGACAGTCGTAGACAATAAACATTGACATATCAAACGGGCGTGGCAGTACCCACCCGCAACGCCATCGACGCAACACCATGAGATCATTTTTTTATTCCGGCCGGTAACGCTCGTTACCCGGGGGGGGGGGGGGGTCGTGCCCCCCGGGTAACGGTAACGCTTGGGCTGGGCGGGGTATGGCGAAGCAGGGGCGCTCTGCGATCGCCATAGTATGCGCGCGAGCAGCACTCTCGGCCTGAGAGCACCACAGTGGCTTGCGATTCGAGTACAAGCGCAAAGCCCGCCGCGTGGTCCCGGCACCACGCCCGCGCCCGCGCGCGCGACGACGATGATCGACGAGCGACGAGGTCGACGACGACGACGACGACGTTTGCCGCCGGTTTCGGCCTCCGGAGGCCGTTTTCGAGCGCCGTCGACGACGACGACGACGACGACGACGACGACGACGACGACGACGACGACGACGACGACGATTCGAGTACAAGCGCAAAGCCCGCACGCACCAGCATCGCGCATGCGAGCGCCGCAATGGCCTGCGAGCGCCCACAGTGCGCCTGCGACCACCACACCACAGTGCGCATGCCTTCGGGCACCAGCATGTTGGAGGGGAAGACCGAGACCCCCCCCGCGTACGAGCGTTACCGTTACGGGGGGGGGGGGGGGGGGGGAGAGGCCCGGGTAACGAGCGTTACCCCCCAGAGGATAAAAAAACAATCTCCATTCAATGAAAAAAAATGCACGGAAATGAGCGCATCCCAAAAAAACAACAGCACAGCCACAATCAAACAATTCGACAACAATAACAATTAGCAAACAACACAACTGCAATACGCAACAATGCGATGCGACCGGGTGCTAAAAATCAGACGAAACCGACAATTCAGGGACCGCGGAGCCCTGATAGCGCAAAGGCGGGACATCCAACGAACAAGCCACGGGCACGTGGGCGGGATATCGCAAGTGCCACCATCTCTCCTGCACAAACGAACGGCTAGAGAAAAAAATAGACAACGATGACGGAAACAGGAGGAAGAAGTGGCAATACGGGCCACATCAGGGATGAGAGAACAATTCAGAATTGAGAAGGCCAAAGAATCAGGGGAAGAGAAACAAGGACGGCGGGACGGACGAGCAAACAGGAAGGAAGGAGGAGGCAGAAGGACAGAAGAGACACGGTCGAAAAGGGAATCGGATGGAACGGGCGCAACAACTATAAGGCGTCACGGGGCTATCGCGGGGCCGTGGGGCCGCATGTGAAGAACATGCTAGAACGGAGTGCGTTGCGTCTCTGTCTGGCTTGGCCAGCTGCAACGTGCGGTGGCTCTCGCGCGGCGCGTCGGGCGGCACCTCGGGAAATGCTAGGACCTCTTCTTGGGCTCTTCGAACAAGCGGGGGGTCATAGCCAACGATCCCTGATGAGAACACCCGGGCGGCAATGAGGTTCGGAGCCCAGGGGAGATGATAAACGATCTTTCTTGGCTAATCGACGACTGCGACGACCAGGATGTCTTCCTCTCGCTCCGAGATCCTTGGCCCGCGCTCTT